AAAAGATCTCTCCGTTGTTTATTTCTCTCTCCCTCTCCCTTTCTCTCTCTCTCTCTCTGTTATAAGAATCAATAAAAGAAACCAATGTATATTGCTATAAACACTTTTGTTAAGTTGTACGATATTACTCAATTACTGGGCAAATTATGAATTCTATACATAAGCGTTTACAATGTAAATTGTACAATTGTCTGATTAGTTAGTTGGCTATCTTAGAATTATCCCAACAACAAAAAAAGAAATAAATTCATATTGTGAATTCACAGCTGTTCAAATTAAAGTACTATTGTAAAGAACATAGTTGGTCTGTAAAATATGGCTGAACATCTGTAGATATATATACATATCTATAAATATATTCAACATTTAGCAATATTTGTTTATAATTACAAATAAAATTTATGTTAGAGCAAAAAACGTATTTTACTACGTAGGGATGTAGATACAGACTACTTTGTTGGCATCCACGTGACTAACGTAACCAATGGTTGGAGACACTGGGTAACATGGCTCAAAATCGATCACATTAGTGTAGGTGTATACACTATTTGTCTTCCCTTAAACTGTGATATTAAAATTGCTTTATACCTTTGTTTCTATGAACTAATTATCTCTTCCTGTATAATACCCTTACACAATCTTTCTTATAAATATTACTACCATTGAATTAACTACGTCTATGAATGCGATGTTCTTCTTGTTGTGCTAATGAGGTGTGGCCACTTGTAGCGATGTATATAGGTACCTGGTCCCACATTCTAGCTGACTGACTGACATACTGATGATAAAATGAAACAATCCCTAGCACATAATGCAAAATCAATCCATTTAACTGTAGAATAATAAATTCATAAACAAATCTGTAGCAAGGATTGTTTAATTTGAATCCGTTTTCGAAGGATTCAGAGTAAAACAGTGTTGAAGAGTCAAACTTTCAGGTTAAAAAAGTAATTTAGTAAGGTGATGGATCTGCGATGAAACATATGTTAGTCAATCCTTTTCACTAACTTAATATTTGACTGAATAAAGAAATGGAACTGACATGATATCCATGAGAGTTGGTACATTCCGTGCAGAACATTATAGTGAAACTTCTGTATCCTTTAAGATCCCAAGTCACGTTGTACTTAAATGAAATAACTTAAAAATTGGTTCTAACTGAACAATTGTATTGGCTCTATTTATTTTGCATGCTGAATAACTAATTATTTATTTATTCATTTGTTTTTTACTAATTTACATGCTAGCTTCAATTTTTACCCGATTCTAATAGTATTCTACTCTTCTGCTGCTATACACTAAGGGTCTTGAACTGGCAAACTTTATTAAATTGTTTTGAATGGGTATCTGTTTCAGTCAGTTTTTGGTTATCACTAGACCACTTCTAAAAATTCTAAAAATTTTATGTCCCTGTTGAAGTAATAAAATACTAGCCAGTGCAACAGTTCATAGCTTATCCAATGAGTCATTGAAACCACAAAAGTACTCCAACCGACGTGAAATGAATAAAGTTGTCAGTCATCTATTAACGGCCGCACATTTTGTATAGTTGAACAGATAAAATGTAGCATTTTCACTTGCTTAACTAGTGAAAGCTAAATTCCTAATAATTCTGTTAGTAAATTTACTATAATCCAGCTCTTCATTCCGCATCAATACATTTCACTTGATTCCCTACTTCCGTTTTTCTCTAGACCATTGAGTTACAATTTGCGCAAATTCTATAGAGAAATAATCAGTGTTTGTCTGACCGAAAGGCGTACTATTATTTTATATAGTATTTAAATTAAAATTAATAGTTCAGTCACAACTTTTTGGACATGGCTGCTGTTATCCAAAAGTAATGTAATAAGAATTTCAAACATTTAAAGGTTTAGTAAAGTCGGATTAGTACATACAGTGTAATTGGGGACTCTAGTTTCGCCCTATTCGGGATTCATTAGTCAGATAGAATTACTTATTCCGAGATTCGACCCTGGTACTTATCACTTCATACGCAAGTAAGTTATGCAATCAGCTACTGTATTCAGATAATAAGCAAGTTGGCAGACAAATATGAAGTTATTTATAGATGCCTGTACCTTGATGAATATAATTATTAAGAAATATAATTCACCAAAGGTTTATGACGACTGTGTAATAATGGTTACAGTACTTATTATCATCCGGTAACTTTAAGCTAAATATGAAGTTTAAGTGAATAATTAAAGTAATACTAAATAGTTCTCGGAGTGCATATGAATACAAAGATTAATAGTCTACGAAAGACAGATAAAAGATGTAGACCGATCAAATACTTCAACTTTTGATAGAGCATTTACATCAAATCATTTGGCGTCTTTCAAATCTCCATCCTCTTATAATCAGATGCCCTCAGGACTAATAGCCTACGTGCCTAACACTTTTAGTTTAGTTCGAAAAAGCGATGAACCTTTTCGTTTGAAGGTTTACTTATTTCACATAGATTCCTTAATTAGGGACGACTATTACTTTGAAGGACTATGACACTGTTAACAAAAGTTACATGAAACTTGTTAAATGTAAGACTTAGACTGTCCTGTTATTGATAAAGGACTAATTATTAAGTTAAATCTCATTGACGCTACCTAACTTGACCTTGTTCAGAATTTATTAATCTATTAAAACTTTTGAAGTTCTATACAAAGCAATACTGAACACGTGTCCTCATTGGGAGTTTGAGATTTCTCTGAATATTTCAAAATCGGTAATTTTCTGCTTTACGATAAGATAAAAGCTTATTTAGTTCAAAATTCTCTTTATTGACTTACTCGAATGAGTCATTCTTATAAGACGAAGCGTTTGAATAATATGATGTATAAGAGATGTTGGTATAAGTTTAAAGAAGTACGAAAAGCACTTATACGATGGAAATTTCATGGACTCAGAATCATCAAAGCATTCTTTGAAACAAAGAAGCAGTGCATTGCAATAGATGTTATCTAGTGTTATACACGCACCAGTGGTAGCAACGACGACGATAAAGATTAGTTTAATGAGGGGCTGCAATCTGTCGTAGAGAAATGCCCAGGAAACGACCTGACCATCTTAATGGAAGACCTGAACCCCAACGTCGGAATGGACAACACCGAATATGGAGATTTCACGGGACGACATGGACTGACTAGGAGAAAGGAATGTGAATGGTGAAAGATTTTCAAATTTATGTACATTCAGCAAATCGGTTATAGGCTGAACAATATTCCCACATAAACGCATACACAAAGCTACATGGGTCTCAGAGGACCACACCACGGAGAACCAGATAGATAATATTTGCATCAATTAAAATTCACAAGGTCAGTGGAAGACATGAGAACCATGAGAGGAGCTGACATAACTTTAGATCAATACCTAGTTGTTGTCAAGATGAAACTGATGATAAAGAACCACTGAAAAACTGTAGAAGCAGCACCACAAAGGTTAAATGCAGACTTCGAGATCCTGATAAATTCAACGACTTCAAGATAACTCTCAGCAACAAAATCCTAGCCTCATAAAATCTACTCACATAAATGGAAGCTACTGGAACGACGTGTTGGGCCGCAAGCACCATCATCATAAGAAATGGGTCTCAGTCTAAACCTTGGAGAGGGTTCAGAAAAGAAAAGAACGAGAAGGCAGCAAATAACAACAGTCGAACAGGAGCAGAAAAAGCCAAGACACATGCCAAATACACAGAAGCAAACAAGAGAGTGAAAATAAGTATTAGAGAAGATAAGCAGAAATATGTGGAATAACTAGCAATGAAGAGAAGAAACTACGAGACAAATACATGATACAACGAAGAAACTAGCTGGAAATTATAGTAAGCCAGAACGAAGAAACTGACAGGGAAATATATTAAACCAGAGAGACCAGTCAAGGTCAAAGAAGACAAACCAATCCCCGAGATTCAAGAACAAACAACAGGTCGGAAGAAAGCTTTGAAGAACTCTTGAATAGACCAGCTTCATTGAACGCATCAGACACCGAAGCAGCTCACACAGACTTTCCTACAGATGTCACTCCACGAACGATCGAAGACATCAGAATGGCCATCAGAAGAATCGAGAGTAGTAGAGCGGAAGAGTGCGACTGAACCAGACGAAAGACTTAGTAGACGCTCAACTTCGAGATCGACAAGCCGGATTGCGTAAGGATCAGTCATGCACAGACCAAATCGTGGCACTACTCATAATTGTTGAGCAATCATTTGGATGGAAATCGTCACTATATGTCGACTATGAGATAGATTTTGACAGTGAGGATAGAATGGCTTTATGGAACATTCTTCGAAACTATGGTGTACTTGAGAAGACCATCAACACCATCCGTAATTCATGTGACGGACTACATTGCAAATTTGTGTATGGAGGACAGCTGACAGGCGCATTTTAAGTGAAGGCCGGTGTCAGATAAGATTGTTTACTCTTAGCACTTCGCTTCTGGTGGTTGACTGGATTATGAAGACCACAACTCAGGATAAGCGTAGTGAACGAACACTCAGGTGGGGGACAAACAATTTATTATATAATACAAAATTACAAAATATCTTCATAAAATATGAGAACCATGCATTAAATGCTTCATTTGCAAATCTTCCACCAACTGCCTTTTACATTCTGTCTGATCCTTCCAGTTTATAGTTCCTTTCTATTTCGCTTTCTGTTTACTTGAATTCTATCTACATAGCCTTCTGCTGTCAGCCACTCAACTTTTGGTTGCATACTACTTACGTTGACAGAGATAAGTAGCATACACGACATAAGCACAGAATACAGTGAACAGCTTGGGAGGAACCGAAAGGTTTGAACTTCGCAGATAACCCAGCTCTTCTAACCCATTCACACCAACAAATGCAGGTCAAAACAAACAGTGTAGCAGCAGTATCTGTATCAGTTGATCTCAATATACATAAGGGAAAAAGTAAGATCCTCAAATACAACACAGAAAACACCAACCCAATCACACTTGATGGAGAGGTGGAATCTTTCACGTACCTGAACAGCATCGTCGGGGAACAAGGAGGATCCAATGCAGGAGTAAAAGTAAGGATTGACAAAGGGAGGGTCGCATTCCTACAATTGAAGAACACAAGGAACTCAAAACAACTGTCTGTCAACCAATATCAAAGTCAGAATGTTCAATACGAACGTCAAGACAGTTCTACTATATGGAGCTGAGACGTAAAGAACTACTACAACCAATTAGGTACAAGCATTTTTTAAACATTTGTCTACGCAAGATACTGAATGTCCGTTTGTTAAATACTATCAGCAAACAAACTAGCTTTGAGCTGATGAGGAAATTAGGAAAAGACGTTGGAAGTGGATAGGACATACATTACGGAAATCAACAAACTGTATCACAAGGCAAGCTCTAACTTGAAATCATGAAGGAAAAACGAAAAAAGGAAGGCCGAAGGAGCAGATATGAAAAGAATGAATAGCACTTAGGAATAACTGGAATGAAGAGGACAGGACAGGTTCGGTTGAAAAATCCTAGTTGGCCGCCTATTCTACAACGAGGAGTAACATACTTAGTAGAATAATTTTGACCATGATATAAATTAAAGAGATACTAAAGTCTAGGCTTAAATTAAAACAATATTCAATACATATAACAAGAAAGAAATGATACCAAGAGAAAACAAAAGGCAATGAAAACTTAATAAAATTGAACTGTTTAATACGCAATATTAACCTGAGTAACAAAACTAACAGAATCTATTCTATTACCAGTTGTTTTTGTTTAAATACCCATATATATCATAGTAAGCGTTGAGAGAGATACATCAATAAAGACATAATGAAAAAAATTCACTAAGTATATTAGAAATCAAAATAATATGCCCAAAGGTGTATTAGTGAATTATCTATCTGAAGTTTGTGTTGATGCTATCGTTCAGAAGAACGACGAAAGCTCCACAACCAAACCATCCAGCTCAGAAAACAAAACTCCATCAATAGCAAATTATCATTTATTTCAGGATTTTTTTTCGTCTTCGTTTTTTTTGTCTTTATTATCTCTGAATTCACTTTCAAATCACTACAATTCATCAAAGTTCACTTTACGTAACTTTCAGTTTATGAGTGAAGAATCACCAAGTTATTATATTTCTCTAGGTGATTCTGATTAAATGGAATAACTAAGTTCAAAATGAATACACGTTTCTTTTTTTTCTTTTCTTTCTTTTACATACAAATCATGAATTTCAAAGTTTCATGATAACAATATGTCTTTATTCACGTCTTTTTGTTTACTTAAATTGGAATAGATTCAATCAATTTCTAAGCATAATCTCTAGTAAACACATCTCTTCCAATAAATCCTTCTAATTAAAAATTTTAGTGGAAATAGTTACTTTGTCAACATACATAATTATAAACTAGCTGTGGGAGGAGCATATATTGAAAATAGAATACTGGGTAATATATATATATATATATACCACGACGTGCAATGCTATCCGGTATTGGAGATGGTTGGAAGAAAGCTAGGGGCGGCCAAACCAAAACGTGGCATCAGTGCTTGAAGACACTAACTTCTAGTCTGAGCCATGTTGGTAGATGCAGACTACTTGGTTGGGGTCCGCGTGACTATCGTAACCAATGGTTGGAGACTCTTGGTGACATGGCTCAGAATCGATCACAATGGCGTCGGTGTATACACTCCCTGTCTTCCCTTAAACTAAGAGATTAAAATCACTTCATATCTTTCTTTCTACGAACCCATTCTTTCTTCTTGTACTATATCTCTATATGCAATCTTTCTCTTATATATTACCACCTTTGACCTAACCACTGCTATGAATCCGGTGTTCATCTTGTTGTGCTGATGCGGTATGACAACCTGGACCGATGCACATATGTGCCTGGTCCTACGTTGTAGCTGACTGACTGACTGACATATATATATATATATATATATATATATATATATATATATATATATATATATATATATGATTTTGTTGTACACAACTGACAAGATTTATCGTTTAAATTACTAGAAATAGTTTAATTGTTAATCTACTTGTAAATGTCACAGTACTGTTATAATGAAGTGTAACTATATATTTAATGAAGAATGTTTTTTTAAAGTATTATAAATATTTCGGCAGAATAACTTATATAATACTAAAACTTTACTTAAGGTATAAATAAATTTTTTTTTAAAAAAGTAACGAACTACTGATTGTATCATTACGTAATTATATGTTCCGGTTACTATCAACTAAGTATGAATAATGTAAAATGCTTAAAACTCTTTGAATGCTAAATATAATTGTAATCGGATAAATGACGTTAATATGTCAATATTAGCAAATGTTAATATGAACAGTGTGAAATATAGTTTGTTTATTTTTTTGTTTTAGTTTTTCAATGAATGTCAAGTGATATTATGAAATCAGTAAATAAAATCAATAAGGGTAATCATATACATTAGGAATAATATTCGATTATAAATTACGTAATTCAAGAAAAAGTTCTAATATAAGAAATTCGTAAACAAAAAAATGGGATTAATGGCAAATTCATAGTTCAAGTGTTCAGGAATAAACATCATGAAATTTTTCATCATGAAATTATGAAAACAAATAGATACGTGACATTACGTTATAATTCGGATAACTGCAGATTTGTTAGCTAAAAATCTGTTTCTTTTAATTGATACCTCTAGAACTTCTGATGTCTGGAAGATATAGAGCCTAGTGGCTTCTCACAGTTCACTGTATATGATTAATCAATGTTTATTTTACAGTCTATTTTATACAGATCACCTAAGACTCAATTATTTAGTTTAAATAACTAACTTCCATATCCATACTGTTAAGCATTTAAGAGAATAAAACTATGAACCACTAAGAGCATCGTTAAACAAAGTTAGATGATTCGATCAATTATAGCTCAAAACAACTGAGTAAAACAACTTCCACTTCTTTATTTCTATTTCAACCACTCAAATATTTTACATTAAGTTTTCAATTGTGAAAGTTGTGTTCCTCAGTGAATATTACTCGTTTGTCTATTCTTTTCTAAATAACATTCAAAGAATTTCCTTTTTTATTTTAAATACAACATAGTCATTCTTTTTTGAATGAATTACATCTTAAAACATTAACAAATGGCGCCATTTCACTCATTGACAATATTTATTTATTTTTATATTCTACCATTATCTGTTTTTTCTGTCCATCATAAACTGGGATTTCTTTAGTCACATTATATTTTGTTATTAAAAACAAAACAAAACAACATCTCACATATAGCTAGACAAAACATTGACATTGTTTTTTTTTATAAATAAAAAAAAATCTGTTACTTCTACGACAATCACCAGCTTAACCAATGGATGAAATGATTGAACTTATCATAAAACTTTAGATAAAAGCAGAAATGTCAATCGAAATGAAAAGAAAAAAAAACGCAACAAAACGAAACAAAGAAAAAAAAACAAACACAACAAACGTTTCACCATTATAAAGTGTGAGTTAATAACTAATTTATTACATATTGTTTATCTAGGGTCACCAAGTTACCATAGTAATTAATAGTTTATTCAATTGATATGTCAAAATTAATTATCATAAGAAAACAAAATATTGACGAGAGAATGACTTTTTGATTCGTGCTAAATTAACTTAAACAAATAATAATGATGATTTGAATCATCAAAATATTTGATGAGTTTTTGTTGTTGTTGTTGCTGTTGGTGGCGGTGGTGTTCAGATTTATAAAATAGATTCAAACTACTTATTCATTGTTATTCTTTACTTCTTTTTTCTAAATGAAAGATGATTGGATGTTTGTTTCAATTGAGCATAAATACAACATGTAAATATTTGACTGATAGATGGGGTTATGTAATTTGAATAAATTTAAAGAGTATCATCCTGTATACATTGTAATTGTCTAAATTTGAAATTATGAAATGACAATAGATGACCAATATAAACTTGAGAAGATATGAAGATTAGTTAAAAACTAATATTATTCCGATTGTAATCAGATTATATTATTATTACTACGTTAATGTTCATTGTAACTATCCAGATAGGTTGCATTCTAGTCTTTTTATGAGATGGTTTATATATATATAAGAGAATATTAAAGGAAGAACAATGAATTATGTTAGGTTAAGGGTTCGCGTGCAAAACTGATAAGTTCTGGGTTCAAAACTCGCGGGGTGAGATCGTGGATACGCACTGTTGAGGAGTTCCATACTAAGATGAAACAGTCATCCAGTGCTTTCAGGTTTTCCATGGTGTTCTAGCTTCAAATGACTTATGAATTCAACTACAAAATCTCCACAAAGCCCCTTGTGATAATTATGTTTCTGTCAGCATCTCCACCTTCATACATTTTCAATGTTGGATTATTAAATTAGGATGAATCAAATATCTCATGATCTCTGGTGTTGGCTGATTCTCTAGTTGGCATTAGTTCACAGTAAGACTTTAAATTGAAGCCTATCGAATTAACACTAAAACATTACTTTCTAAATACAATATAGGTCAAGTTTAGGGTTTTGAAGGCGAGTATCATATACTGATATTTGTGAACGATTCGTGTAACGCATTTTGGTCTCGGTTTAGAAACTTACTGTTTGTCTGAAGTTTAGTGTAACCGTTCAAACTCAAGTAGTTAGTATAAGGTTTGAATACGTAACCTTACGATTCGTAGTTGAGTGTTTCGGTTATTAAACCTCTATTCTCTATACAGTTACTAAATTTAATGTTTCTGCTATCAGGTGCACTACGGCATACAGTGTAATTATATAATTCCTTTTCTGAAAATTTGATTAAATTATCTTTTTGAACTCTTTTTTTAATAACATTTCAATTTACCCACGGTAATTCATTTACTTTATGGTAGTTTGTGCATAATGTAAAATACATTATAACGTAAAATTAGGTTATCCACAGGTGAATTTCACAACATATTTATTAGAACTAAGTGAATGTTATAGTTAGATAGCATTTACATAATAGTCAATAATTAATATAAGTAACGAATTAATGATCGGTAAAATATGTCAGTATGAAACAAACATGTATTTACGTGAATTTGTTGGGAAATAACTAGTTTAGTAAATTAAGTACCGTCGAAACAATAAGCAGGAACAATTATCATCAAATATAAGTGTGATAATCTACAAATTCAACTATAGAATTAGATTTCGAAGGTTAACATTTCGAACATCATTTATATTTTAATGTTGAGTGATTCTTTACGTAAAACCTGTTCTATCCCCAATACGTTCCATATAGTCTGATTAAAACTATACGAAAATAGAGTCAGGATTTCACATAACGATCTATTGCCCCAACTATTAAAGACCTCGTCAGTTAACTTTTTAAGAATTGGTCTCTTGTCAGGATGTATGTTCGTTAACAAAGGATACCCAGATATTTTAGTTCGGTTTGGTGAGTGCTGAGAAGATGAAGAGCTTTCTGATCCCTTTGAGGAACAAAGCAAACATTTTTGAGGTACGTTTCCCCTTACTGAAATACTTGACTGAGTCAACTATTAAAATAATGGTAAGGAGTAAAGTAGTTAATCGCATCAACCACATCTCTTGTCTTGGAAGTCCTGATGAGTTCGTGTTTGACGAAATCTCTGTACAGATTTACAAAATTTACTTGGTTTTTTCCAGCTAAAGTTATTTACAGGAAATGTCGCGAATGTCATTCTTGTGTTTGTATAAAAATAATATCAGACTCAAAACAACAATTCATTTCCAATGTTAAAATTATATTCATTGAATCAATGCTACAATTACCATTGGATCGGAAAATGATTCTATTACCAAAAGCAATTACACAAATAACTTGGTACCAACTAATGTCGTGCGTAAATCTTAGTGGTAAGTAAATCCTATTGATCGAATTGCTGTGTGACCGCTCAGTACTTTATTGTTGGCGTTTGAAGTGAATGGTCATGCCTGTAAATTACTGCACAGTATTTAATAATTTTCTGAAGCAGTAACTAATCCTGGTAATAGGATATCATGGAATTTTGGCTGACAAATATTTAAGTTAAACTCGTAATGAGAACGAAGAAATTCACTGGACTGTAGTTAAATCAATTCACTTAACACTAAAATTATGTTCTAGATAGAATAGTTAAGTGTAACGAAAAATTTCCTAAAACTAAAAACCTCCTTGTTGTTGTAATGTTCATTGTTAGAATTTAATAACTGGTAGAAATCATATTTTTAACTTGTGATAAAAAAACTATCTGTGTTTTTTATTACATGAAACTAAAGGTATTCGTATATTGGAAAAAAGTATTGTTCAAATAAAAATTTACTTCTTTCTACATTAAGTGAGAAGTGAACAAGTAAAAGTTAGGCAATTTATGAGGTACATAGCTTTATCATAAATTAGTTCATTAATGCTGATGAATATTGAACAAACAGTCTAGACTTTCAATTGCTATCAATAATGAACATGTGGTTAGACTTTTCACGATATAATGTGACTTAAATAGATAATTAATAGTATATGGTTGTAGAGATTGTTAAGTTTTTATTAAGATCATGAATCAATCAATATTAGGAAATCATTGAAAACTTGAAAACACTGGACGGCCGTTTCGTCTTAGTGTAGGACTCGTCAGCAATGCGCATCCACGATCCCACGGGTGGGATTCAAACCCAAGAAGACGATCACGCAATATTATGGATTGATTGAAGTTACACATTAACATTGTTGGATATTAGCTCAGTGGTCCATAGGTTAGATTTCTGTGTGCAAGACCAAACGTATTGGGTTCGAATTCTGCGTGAAAGATCGTGGATGCCCACTGCTAGGGAGTCCTATACTAGAACAAAACAGTCATCCAATGCTTCTAGGTTTTCAATAGTTGTTTAACACTGATCCATCCATGATCTCAATTAGATAGATAACCTGTATCATTTATTTTTCAGTGCAAATATATGTACAAGTATTTAAGAATATAAGTATAATATAGACAGAACTCCTATACAATTTACACATTATTTATTCATAGGTTAATTTAGTACTTCAGAATCATTTCAAGACTCAGATGAAATCTGATAAGAATAAATAAGTAACATTAAGTGAATGACCATTACTGTTTTGTATTTTGTTTTTTTAACAATAATTATCTAGTTTAAGTTTTACTAATCATAAAAACAGGGTTAATTTTTTCCCATTTATATTGTTCTAATATTAAAAGTAAAGAAAAAACAAAACAGCACTTCGTTTATAGTTTACCTTTTGACAAATAAATGATGATTTAGTACACATAAATTATCTATCACTTAAAGGATATACAAATTAAATAAATTAACAGATACACAATTCTATTTGAATAATGATAATAAGGTAATAATTTCGTTGTCTACTATCACTTAGTATACGAATATGTATCGTATTAAGCTTATTCTATATTTTTCCAGTAAAAATAAACAATAAACAATCATTAAATATTGTAATGATAAGTTTTTATTTATTGTCAAATATAAAATCATATGCATATGAAAGTAAGTATAAGCTAATGAAAAAACCAGTAATAAATAATATACAAATATCAGTATAGTGGTTGTGGAGATTATTAATTTTTTGATTGAGATCATGAAGCGATTGATGTTAGACCACCACTGAAAACCTGTGAACACTGGACGGCCGTTTCGTCCTATTGTGGGACTCCTCAGGAGTGCGTGTTCACGGTCCCGCTCGCGGGATTCGAACCCAGGGCTTTCAGTCTCATGCGCGAACGCTTAACCTACTGGACCACTGAGCCAGCCGGCATCCAATGGTGTTAGTGTCTAACATCAAACAATCCGCGAAATCTCGCAACTATTTTTCATTGTACTGAGGTAAATACCTGTCTCTACCCGAAACGGATTAGCTAGACTGGTGACGGCTTCTCACTAGAACTCCGAGAACACCCTCACAAAGCTAGTCACTAGTGATCACATTATGATTATAAGTATAGGATTGTGGAAACCATTAACTTTTTGTTTGAGATCATGAGCCGTTCGCGCGCAAGACTGATTGGTCCTGGGTTCGAATCCCACGAGCGGGATCGTGGGTGTGCACTTCCAAGGAGTCCCACAATAGGTCGAAACAGCCGTCCAGTGCTCCCAGGTTTCCAATGGTAGTCTAACATCAATCAGTTCATGATCTCAATCAAAAAATATATAAATACTCGAAAAGCAAGCAGATTAAAACTAAAATTATACTGATAATTAATATTTAAGATAGAAATTTTAACTCACTTTTGTATTTTGACCAGATTTACGAGGAACAGCAAGTTTTGGATCAATCTAAAATTTCAGGTAATAATTCAAAAATATTTAAATGAATGAAAATAAATCACGATTGTATACCATTTTACGTAATGTATATAATACAATCCTTCAAGAGTTTATAGGCTGGCTAAATATCTCACCGGTAATACTATTAACCACAATACCAAGAGAAGCCATCTTAAGTGATATAAAAAGTGTTAGTTAATCTAGGACAGAAGATACTATTCTCACGAAACCCGACTAGTAATAAACCTTAGTTCATATTCCTTTGAACCATATAAACTCTACACTCCATTCATCAACATAATATTTTTTAATGAGACCTGTTTATTCATCACTTGATTAATATATATATATTCACATTCCAGAATTTCACTATAAATATATTACAACAGTATTTAGCAGCATCATGAAGTAATGAAACTTCGTCAGTTGAGGTGGCTGGGACACGTGTTACGTATGCCCAACGACCGACTGCCCCGACGCGCGATGCTTTATGGTGTAGGAGTAGGTTGGAAGAAAGCTAGGGGCGGCCAGACCAAAGCATGACACAAACCGATGAAGTCACTAACCAGTGGACTGAGCTATGTTGGTAGGTGTAGACTACCTGGTTGAGGACCGCGACATGATAGCAACCGATGGTTAGAGACCCTGAACGACATGGCTCAAAATCGTTTGCAATGGCGCAGGTGCATCCACTCTCTGTGTTCTCCCAAATTCTAATCTTCTGAATTCTTCATGTCCCTTAGTTTCCTTCTAAATTCATTTCACTGTATTATACTCATTGAATAACATCTTCAAACACTAATGTTTCCGATTACTGCTTATAATTTTACTACCTCTACCAATACGGTATTTGAATCGACAATTGTATCTCTGTGCTAATGTGGTGTGGCAACTCGAACTGATGTACGTACGAGGTTCTACGTTGTTACTGACTGAGTATTATGTTAACTAAAATAATTAGTCAAAGTAATTGGAATAAAAGAATTTAAAAGAAAAATATAATGAACAAGGAAGTAATCTCTTATATAATCAATATTTATGTATGAATACCTAAATACAAAATCTTATCCTTACGTCTAAATCATAACAAAAAAAAATGTGTAACTTCACTAAAATCTACTCTGTTTGTTTATAACATTCACATATTTTGTCAATATATATATGAATATAATTCTATAATACATCTTAATATGACAGAAATGTAATACCATTTTACAGTTATCCATAGAGTATAGACTTTATTTATTTAAAATTATAAACAGATTACGTTTTTTTACTTTAGCAACAAACAGAAATTAATCAAAAATAAATGTAAAAAAATACAATTAAATAGTTTAGTAATAAAAAATATTTTTCATAGTTTATGGTTTGGATAGTTTATTATATAGAAAATTTATGATATACATAGTGCATTGAATAATAATTCTTTTTAATTAACTATGTTTAAAAGGAGAATAAACCATTAGTCAGATATTATATTTATTGAAGAGAAACTTTAAAAGACAAGGAGAAAATCTGAATTATGCAAGTTAATTAGCTGCTTGGATCAATTCAATAATATTTGATGTTTGCTTAGATTTTCTATGAACAATTAATTAATTGTTTCAAGATCCCTATCATATTGAAAGACTAGTATTTGAACTTCATGGTGCATTTGAGTAATAACTCTTTCACGACAATAATAGGAACAATAGTTTCAATTTCATTTTAAATCAATTGTTCACCTATATATTCCACAGTCTCTATGAGTGGGAGGTTTGTGAATAACAATGTTACATCCAATCACATCATCTTTAATCCCAACGTATTCAAATACTACTCAGTTAATTAATTTATGTATAAAGTTTATTCAGAAACATTTTTCAACATAGACACTTATAAAATGTGGCTATAACAATAATAAAGTAGTATATTAGGATTTCTGGAAATGCAGTAGAAAGTTTACTACAAATTTATGACATAATTGACTCATAAGACACATATCTAACCTAAAGATAGTATAAATTAGAAAGAGAATCATGTGAAAGGCTTTCAAATCAAAAAGCATTAAATAACTGGTTACAAATGTTCCAAGATTATTAATACTTACAATTTCAATATCAGGAATCTCGTCAATGGTAATTGTTTATCTATTGAACCATGGAGAATATTATTTATCAAACAAGAGCACCTGACTTAATTCAGTTTGTCAAACAAACATCATTAAACACGTCATGCAAATATTTATGATCATATTTACAGTGATTAGAGTATGTAGTTCACAACAAGATATCGCGAGCAAGTTAACGTAAGTTAACGTAGATCTATTTATTTCAGTCAGTTATGACCAACATAATACTCCATTACCTGTGGTTTGATGAAAATGATGTCTACTGTACATAAATGTTATGCTAATTTAAGATGGATGGAAACTGGTATACTCTGCTGCAATATTTACATCTGGTTTTCAAGTGACTGAAACCGTTTACAAATCCATTGTCTTAAGAATGAACAACATAAAACGTTATAATAATTTATCTCACTCAAATTATTATAATGACAAAAAAAATCTGATCAGAAACGTTAAAGTATACCTTTTTATAGTCCAAAATATGTGGAGCTGTTTCAAGGACTTTTTCCACACATACTGGATCAGAAAATGTAATAAATCCAAAACCTCTATAAGAAAAGAAATGAAGATCAAATAAATAAATTAGTGAATCACTATTCATAGTTTTACTTAAAAAGGTTATTTTTATGATTAATTAATAGAATTCATGTTTCCTCTTTTGAAAATTTGTTTCTATTTCATTCTGTGTTACGAAAACTGTTACTTAAAATTAGTTGGAAAATAGTTATGTTTTATATAGCTCAAATTTACCTAAATAGGGAAATGGTTGAAAAGTCATTTTTCAAAGTTTGTTGGTTTTCAATGGCTATCTAACTGAGATCGACTTGTGATCGTAATAAAATATAATGCTATAACAGATTTTGAGATATGGTTACTGTATATTCATTCCTGATCATTTTCACTGATCTATTTGGGAACCTGAAGACTGCAAAGATACACTATTAGTAATATAATCATAAATGCATGATAAGTATAAGGATAAATATTCAAATAAGCAAGATATAAATGTATTTTACACTGTATTTTACCTTGATCTTTTTGTGAGAGGATCACGCATAATCATATATTCCCTAAGCTCACCATATTTTTGAAAATAGTCCCGTAAACCCTCTACAAAGTAAAATAATTAAAAAAATGTGTATTGTTGATTAAAAGTATACTTAGTGGTCAAATGTATCATTAAAGTTTATTTTTGTACAAAGATTCTACCAAAGAATTACGTTATTAAGTGTCATGAGATATTTGAAATAATGAATATTTAAATAAAATCATGTTTAAGAATATCAATGCATTTACGGTCACTGAGTTAAAAAGTCTAGCTGTAAGGCTTTCATAGTTATCATTATAAATGACATCATCAAAGCCTACTTCAAATAAATTAATGCTGAAGATGTTGTACAGAATGACAATTAAAATTTCTCAGTTAAGTTTTTCAATTAAGTAAGCCCAACACCAGCAAAAGTCTTTAGTAAAATTAAGATAAATTTTACTACCCACTTTTGATTTCTTGTATGTTTTCTTTTTAATTGTATAATTAGAAGTAATATATTCATATATAGTATAGAATGTCCAATAAATATTTGAATGTCTTTGAATAAACAAATTATCTTCACCAACAACAACGAAATCACCATGATAGTGATAATGATGAACTTTTGACATTTAACAGACAGTTTTAGAGTTACCAAACAAAATAAATAAGATGAAAGATTATTAGACAAATATAGTTTTATTTTCCAATATTAGTCATCTTACTAAGCAGTAAATGATGGGAAAATTGTTGATTATTGTTTTATTATCGGAGGGGGTTTTGTGGAGATTTTAGTAATTTCAATAGTTGAAATCATGAGTCAATTGAAGCTAGACCACCGTGGAAAACTTCGAAGCACTGGACGGCCATTTCGTCCTATTGTGGAACTCCACAGCAGTGCCCATCCACGATCCCGCTTCGCGGGATTCGAACCCAGAACCAATAAGTCTCGCGCGCGAGCGTCTAACCACTAGACCACTGAGCGAGCCGGCATCCAATAGTGTTAACGTCTAACTTCAACTAATCCATGAAATTGAGTGACACATACACCATTGTCATCAGTCAGTTATTATCTCACAACAGACCTGGTTGAACTCTACTGGTCATGGCTTCTCATTAGAACCTCAGGAAGTGCCTCTTGAAGTCACTAGTAAGCAGAGAAGTAAATATGGAATTTTGAAAAATTCAACTGTAAAACATTTTTAATGGTAAGTTATAGTTCATAAATGGTTGTTAAAAGTAATTAAATGATCACTCGAATTCATTAAGGATCAAAATAAGTCTTTTTATTAAGAAATAATTTCGAATGTTAAAATACTACTCAACATTACAAATTAGCATGGATTACTTCCAAGTGATTAAAAAAAAGACGTGCTTTTTGGATTTTTATAGATATTCCTGATATGTAACTTAATATTTCCTCGTGGACATCTGTAGAACCGGTTACCAAGTGTTTCTTTTAAACGTCTGTCAAGATGTATACGATCCCAAGCAGAAATTTAAATAATTGACGATTTTAATCATTTTAACTTCAGTGTTAGAGGGGAGCATAAAATCTTTTTAAAGTTGACAGATACATAATAAGTTTGTATTTTAATTATTCCGCTGTAAAACGTTCAGAGATTATACACCAGCTCAGCATCGTAAAATAGAACTGTGTCATTTTTTTGGTTCAGATCGATCATCAGAAGGGGGTAGAATCTCTAATCTCTGAGTGAAAAAGCTAATTTCATGACCATACCTTTAATGAAGCTTAGGAGTGGACATTTATGGTGCAAATTACAATCTCATGAATACATGTTTATATCAATTTCAACTACTAAATAATTTCCATATCCTTATATGTTCCCGTTAAGAGAAGCAAAATCCTGAGTATGAACAATATTTTGCACCTCACGACACTATAAACAAGATAATAAAGTCAATAATAACAACCAAGTAACTGCTACTAAACTACAATAATAGTGATTAAAAATATCAAAGCAAGAAAACAAAAATGAAGATTATTATTACTAAAGTTGATGGGTTCGATCCTTAGTCATGTTGTGGTTGTTTATTACTAAAGTGTCCTATACTAGAGTGAAATAGGTGTCTAATGCATCATGATTTTTAGCGTTAGCTTAACTAAAACCAGTCAATGATGTAAACTATGAATATTTAACAATCACCATAAAAATCCTAAAATATTGTTATTATTATAAAAGTCAATCAATATTACTGATTCCAACTTCTTCGTCTTTATCATAGCTAATCAGATTTTACAGTAATTTGGTACTTTCTGCAATAATACTAATGATCATAATAGTTCATTGTATGTATCTTATTATTTATTGGTAAATCTCCTAATATTCATTTCTTCATAGAAAGTGATCGATCGGCTATCAAAATCACATAAGATATTATTACTAATATTATTATTAAGTGGTGATTGCTTATTAAGTGCTTATTATGACATTTGTACAAACGTTTCATAAAACCATGTTCAATATTCTTTACTTACAGAAAAGAAAATTCATAAAACATATTAACCATATAAAAGTAAGAATAATCGTGACTGAGTATCCCTGAAAGTCAAAATGGTTATCGCGTAAAACAATTATTTTTTTTAGTTTTTCTTAAAGAAATAATACTTTGTCAGGTAACTGCAAATAGATAACTACAATTTCAGTTACTGCGGTGGGATTTAGCATAAGTAAAAGACTAAAACTCTTTATTCTTCCAGTTTTTATAAAACCGATAGAAAAATAATGTAGAAGTTTGCTATTTGAAACTCTTCTTTCAATCAGTTGATTAATCAATACAAATGTAGATCCTTGGACGAATTTGTATCGGTTCAAGCTGTTTTATCTTACATTTGTAAGGCAACAAATAAAACAAATAGGATGAAAAGTAAAGAGGATCACTTAGATTCAGCGGCAATCGAAGTGAACTCTTAAAATGTATGGCTCAACTGAAACAAATAGAATAGATGAATTATGAATGACATTTAACTCAAGATTTGAACGAAGATAAAGAATGAATGAAGCTGAACCAATGAGATCGAAATTGCACTAAGTAAGCTAAAACAGTTCAAGATTAATCTACACAATAGATTATGCTGATGGATTACCATTATCAGTGTGATGTTTTTACATGTATGTTAAGTAAAAGTATATTTTCAAAATGTACAGCTATAATTATTTTATTTATGAACTTATAAAAGCATTTTATTCTTGTTCATATTTGCGAGATATTCGTTCTCTTAACTCTGAGGATGAATCAGTGTAATTCTTCTATAGGGGATGAATAATTCCCAGATCAACATTTATCACTTTTCAGTTGTTATTGTAGTGAACATGAACACTAGTGGGGACAATCGAATGTAATTAACATAAAATTACAGGACTTGTTAATAAAATCTAACAATCACAAAGTAAATACCTAATTTGCAAAATGTCCACCAATTGTCTCAAAGTGACTCAGACCTGATTGTTCTCGTATTTTCATAGAAATTACATTCTGTTTCGATTCTTTACTGTTTGATCCTCTTGTCTCTCTGCTGCCAGACCTTCTATTCAGGGATAACATCGCATACTACTTGTGTCAATATAAGTAGCACACACCACATTATGAATTCATACAGAAAAGTGGTCTTACATTCACATATTGAGTGATGGATTAAAAATTGTCATTAATTTGAAATCTAGAGATTAAAATTGTTTTTTCCAAGCTATATATTTGCTTCCAGTTATTACGATTATTGGATCCTTCATGTCAGAATCGACTTAAATTCATCAGAATACTGATTTCATTACCAATATTTTGGCTACATCCTACCCTTTTTTGCAGCCTATATAAGATTCACATCTAAGGTTTAAAGAAAACTATAGTGTAGACCCATATATTTAAAAACAGATTACTTTGCAACAAACGTACGTGGGTTTTTTTTATTTACCTTGGTTTGTTACGACATTATGCTGATGAGAATATGAACATACATAGGAAAGAATGTAAGATATGAAAAGCAAGGAAGCATTGGTTGTCGATAGGATTCCTTTAACAATGACAATAACGGTAAAAAAAAGTGAAAACCACGACAAAATTTTGGTTTAACAAATAAAGAGAAAATGGAGAAGAGGAGAACTAGATAATTTTACATCACAAATAAATACAAACACATAAATAGTAGATATCCGGTATTAGTTGTAGGAAGACTCAACTTACCAGATGTTGTAGTAGGACTGAGGCCACCGATAAACATTTTCCTAAAATATGAGAAAAGTGAAAGAAGAAAACTGTAAACGGGTGAACAATCCAGTGACGATCAGCATATGAAGGAAAACCAAAAGAAACGTATAATTGCTGCATAACAGAAATAAAAACCGAACTTAATATAACAATAATTGCTACTATTATTATTGTAAGTAAAGAATGTGTAGTAAAAGAGAGAATCGAGGACAATTCAAATGAAGAAGAGAGTATAATACACGTATGTGTTTATATTTATTTGTTTATTTATCTAGGTTTCTGCGAGCACACCTACACATTGACGAATTTTTATAGAGTGAAGCATTCACGTGAACCTATTGCGCACCGGGAAGAGAGGAAGAAAAAAGGAAAGCAATGAATCTACTAGTTTTTCTGAATTTTCAACACTCCTATATATATATATATATATATATATATATATATATATATATCAAGCTGTGATTGATACTTAATAAATAAGCGAACACATAAATGACTCTTCAAATTAGAATATACAAATAACATCATCAACAGTAGGAGCAGCATTGGCAAAACTATAATTCAACTAGATGTTATGCTAAGAAGAAATATAATTCTACCTAATATTTCGGCAAAGGTAAAGCAACAACTTAAAAAGTGAACAACAATTGAGACAGTATATATGTAAACATATATTTCGACTAATATCAATATACTGAAAAGGGATGACTAATCAAATTGGACAGAATGTGTGGTTATTATAAAACGAAAAAGAATAATAATAATTAAGAAATAAGTGTTATCCACTGCTTACGTGTAATATTTTTCATGATCAATATGATAATAATTCAATTAGATGATGAATTCAATAGATAAAACTGTTTCTATATTGTTTCCTTTGTACTATCTAAACTTGTATTAATTGAATTCAGTTATTCATTTACTTTGAAGAAGTGGCTTATATTAAGTCACGAAATGTCAGAAATACAAGTATTCTACTCATTGGAATGTAGCAACTATATAATTATATATATAATAAACTGTTATACTGTTTATATTTGTTTCATTTTAATCAAAAGATAGTTTTGATAAAACCACAATCATATAAGAATCTTATTTTAGAAAAGAAATAAAGCTATACGATGGATTTGTAAATGTTTTTTTGTTTATTCATTGAATTAATGTCCTAACTAAGAGCTTACATAACTCATTATTCTTTTTAATAGTGTATACTATTTTTATATTTTATTTATTATTAATTTATTTTAACACACAGATATTGGTACATGGAGGCAACAAATACATATGCACCACACAAATCTCATTCGATATGTGTGAGGGCTGTGATACCGCTCGGGTGCCCAAACTGAAACAGGTGGTTTTCTTAGGAGGCCACTACCCAAACCTTCGACCTGAAGGTCTGATTCACAAGGCAGTGGAGCATCGTGAGGAGATGCAGTCCCATGGTAGCCAGTGACCAACAATTGGTTCATACACCATTTGTTCCTGTAGGATACTGGAGCTCATGTTCACCATTGGTTTGGAATCCGGTTAAAGCACTGGACATTCACTTTTCGTCCTCTCATTTTCGTAAACAACACCCCGTCACGAAAAGGCGGTGAGTAGGACTTGCCTGTCAGAGGCTATATACGCGTGGCACTACAGTCCATATAAGTCGATTGGGCAAGTAATATTGTTAAACATGTAGAAATCTGAATATCATATAAAACCTAATATTGGTAAATATGAGCTTCATTCTCAATACAAATTTAGTTCGAATAGCTAAAAGCATACGTGAAAAACGGCAGTAGTTTATTCATTTTGTGAAACGTTTCAAGCTTACTATATTGAAAAAATGTTTAATGTTCACCTAATATAGTAATTAGCATTATTTATTACACGAATACAACGAGTACTAATGATATATGTATTGAAAAATGAAATTAAGTAATCATTCATTATTAATCTTTTATTTAAAACAATTTATTCAAATGATCAATTTGGCTTGATTGGTGCTGCTATTCAACCAATATGTTTAATTCAACCTTATGAATTCATAAATTAAATACGGTAGGTAGAATGGATTTATTATAATCATAATTTATTTAATAAAAGCTATTTTGCACAAAATAATGTTTAAATTTCTAACATTCCAAAGATATACATGAAACTCGAACAGATTGAATCTCAAGGAAGTGACCTGAAAGAAATAAGGATAAGTAACCTTTGAAAAGTGAAATGTTTGGTAACTCATGAGTTCAAACATAAATTCTGTGTTATATACATCGTAAATAGTAAAATGAATATCAATGATTCCCAGAATTATTGATCTTCAATTCATTCCCGCTTTAACCGATTTAACATTCACTTACATTATAATGGAATTTTACAGTGATTAGTAAATTTCCAAGTTTCATATCAGCTGTAAATGAGCTAGTTATACTATTGGTTACATTAGTTATAATACTAGAAATACAATTTTACACACCTTAATCAATAACGTTTAATTAGAAATGTCATAGAGAAAAACATAAGTAACAACATATTTAACATAATCATTAAGACAGATTAATAGTTGTACATGAAGTTGTGTAAAGAAGTGGGTGATGTCACAAATAATAATAAAAGTTTGTAACAAATGAGTGTTAGTTAAATCACCCAGTTAGTATAAGAATAACATTGTAATTTAATGTCATGAGTCAATGTCAGTGGAATTACGGCTTGACCTTTGGATATAAAGTGGAAGTGTGGGTAACCTCTCGTTACCATGGTAAAATTATTATATTGTTATAAGGTTTGCTATTAACTCAATCGCTTTATCTTTGACATAGAAAAATAATTCCACTGTTATCTTAATGAAACTTGACTGTTATGTTAAATATGTTGTTACTTATGTTTTCCACTGTGACTTTCTAACTAAACGTCATTGGCTAAGTTGTGTAAAACTTTGATTCTAGTAATATAAATGATGTAACTAGTAATATAAGTCGGCCATTTAGAGCCGATATAAAACTATCAAATATAATGAAATCGTGATTTTTTTTCGATAATCTTGTTATTCTTGCTTTATTTAAATGTATGAAAGGATCAGGGGATATGTGATTAGTAAGTGCATAGCTCTATCAAAGCTATTTTTCTATCTCTCCATTTATCTATAATGCAGAATTACAAAGCATCAATAACATAAGACTATATCAAATACGTAATGAATTTAAAATTGATATGAAACTTCTTTATTTCTTCTCAAAAATTCTGTATTTAAATAATTTAACAGTAAAAAGTAAGCAATCATTTTCCTATCACAGATCATAGATGCAATACTTTTAGATAGATCCTTTTTATGCTGAAATGATGATTCTTCATTAACATCAATTATTAATTTCATTATCCTATGAAAAAGATTAACCTGAATATATTCTAGTCCTTAAATTACATTAACTTTTTAACAGTGAGCACTCAAAATTTCAACACGAACAAAAAACACGAACCTCCTGGTATCTCGATCACCATGATACAATTCAAGTAATCAGTCAGAATTCAATGGTTTTGATTTCCTACTATTGATCAATTGAGTCAGTTATACCAAATCGTTCAATAAAATATAATTATTTCACCAATAAAAATTTTCTAATTCAACCTAACGTCATCGAAATATCAATGTTTGTAAACATTTTTTACTACTACAGTTTTTAATTACACGCTTGAATAACTGATTAAACGTTACGTATCATTTTAAAATTTATTACTTATACTTTGAATAAAGAGTAAAGAATAGAAATAACTACAAGTGGTTAGTAATGAGTTAAAGATAGAAAACTTAAATGATTATCAGTTTTTATGACTGACAATTACGCAAAGAAATAATCAGGTCAAGTTGTATTTAAATAAGTAAGATATATGTAGTACCATGTTAACATTTTAAGAAAACCATCATATAACTAGAGTACAAGTAGGACTGTAATCAATAAGCACGTTTTTTTTAAGTTTTGGAAAACTAAGTTGATAGAAGCCAATAACTTTTTAATGAATATGAGAAAATTTCATTATAGTGATTGAATATTAATCTTCATGTTCGAATAGCTACCACCGACATATGAATTGACTCCATGCAATAAATCGGTGAACAATAATCATAGACTTATATTTCGTTCATAAACTGTTAACAAAGAAAGGCCCAGAAGGAAAGAAACAAATATAATAGTTTTTGTGGAAGACTAGTGATATCATCCGGATTTCAAAACTCAAAACGGTGACACAAAGATTGAGTTTACAACAAGATAGTTAAAAACTATTTTAATTACTAAGCAGTGGCTTAGCAAATGAACATATATACTTAATTGGCCTAACTTAAGTAAACTACCCCATAGAAAAAATTATTAAAACTGAATGTTTCACTACAAAATATCAAGTATTGTGAAGCGAACAATTCTCTTTAATTCTAAAACTCTATAACAGTATGTATAAGTAATATTTTATTGTATCGATTCATCTGATGTGATAGTGATAAAGATAGGTTTTTTTCTCTTTCTCACAAGTATGGATAAAATAGTACGAATTTATTGATTAACCACCATTAAAGTGAATGATAAGATCATATTAGTGATATAAGTTTTAATAGTAACACTTTGTGAATTTCAGTATTTATTAACTTGTAATATCAGATTACTTTTCGTCAGATTTATTGAACCAATTTAGTACATTCCACTGAATAAAAACAATATATATGTGCTTTTCAGATATGCATGTGAAAAGTTTCGGAAAAAAAGGAAAGAAAAAGATATACCCTCAGCAGTGCGCATCCACGATCCCGCACCACGCGGGGCTCGAACCGGTCTGTTGTGAGATAACAACTCACTGAAGACAATGGTGTACGGTGGCGCAACTTCGTGGATTGGTTGAAGTTAGACATTAACACCGTTGGATGCCGGCTCAGTGGTCTAGTGGTTAAGTGCTCGCGCGCGAAGCCAGTAGGTCCTGGGTTCGAGCCCCGCGTGGTGCGGGATCGTGGATGCGCACTGCTGAGGAGTCCCATATTAGG